ATTATTATTATTATTATTATTATAAACGTATTCCGTTAGCTACGTGACTTTGATCTCGGACGATACGATATTGAAATGAGCGGTTCCACTGTATACGGACCAGTGTCCGGAAATTTTAGATTCCGCATAATTTTATTGCATGGAAATCGTTTCGACCCTAAATGCGTTCACTATCTATAATGCTGTCGATAGACAACTACTGTACCACTGCCGCTGTTATTTCAGGGGTTTTTTGTTTTTCGTATTTCCATGCCCGTCCGTCAATCTTTTCATCTCCCTCGTTACATGCGAATTGCGATGACGTCGGTACCTATAACCAATATCTAACCCGCACGTACGTCCCGACTGGATCCGTTTTTTTTTTCTTCATATCGTCTCCGAATAATCGTTACGGTACGTGCGTGGATCGGCAACGATCGGACAACTCGTCAGTCTTCGCATCTGAACGTTATTTTACCGGTGTTATTCAACCAATTCGACCCACCATATCAATCATTAACGCAAACACGACAGCGTCGTTATTGAATAAATCTAAATCGACAATTTTATCGGACTCTCGGTAACAATTAAATCGTAGCCGTAAATATTTGTATGCTGAAGAACCGAAATTGATGTAATATGTATTTGTACGACATAAATGAATGAGTATTTTTCATGCCAATACCGTTGTTCACTTTTATTTCAGTTTTTCCGCATATTGACAGGTTTGCGATATGTCGAGGAGTCGGTCGGCAGTGGAAGTGAAATTGCGAAATGAGAGTCTATTCGATAGGGGGGAGGGGGGAGAGGGAGTTAATTGCATCCCAAGTCCTTCACGTCAGCTAACCAAAACTCGTCCGCAGCAGCTAACAGATGTTTTCCGACCGGGTTTTCGGAAAAATGGTCTGTCTGAAAACAAGGACGACCGTTATTAGTCGCTCGTCAACTAAATAACTATGTTTTCGGAACTAACTCTTCCTTACCGTCCTTACTCAGTGATGTGATTGTGAAAAAAATGTATTGAAAATATAGAAAATTAGATTTTATTTTGTTATAACATTTTCACCGCCATGGCGCGCCATACATTATACACGATGGGCCATATATTGTGTATATTAGTTAAATCCGTTTACCCATTTTATTTAAATTAATTTAAATAATTTGTCGCAAAATATTCAAATATTATTTTATAAAGAATTTTCAATATTTACAGAGATGTAAACATTTAATAAATTCTGAACAAGTACTTGAACATTTTCACATAATAACAACTATTAATATAAAATATCGATAACGTTAAAAGTTCGAAGCGGCTTTTCGTTGGATCATTTACAGTAAAATTATTTTTATAAATTTTAAATATTTCATTATACAGTTGATTGAATATAATACTGTTTTAAAATAGTATATTACATAATATTTTATTATTATTATCCTAGATAATTAGAAATATATAATTATTAATTTATAAATTTAAACTAAAGTATCATAAACATAGTAAACAAAAGATAAATAGATGTTCAGTCGGTCATCACATAATTTGGCATGCATAATAATTATTTGAATTATTATATGAATTATAATTATTATTTGAAAGAGGGAAATTTTATAATACAAAAATGTATTCGAAAACGATTGTAATCCCTTCAAAAGTAAATAAATTGTTTGCAACGACTGAATAATAATATGTTACCTTAGCGTGTGTATAGGTATTACAATCATATAATGTTTGAACTCAAAGGACATTGTTTTAAAGACATATATATATATATATTATATATAATATATACTTGACTAGTATTGGAATACTCAATTTATTTTTAAATTGTATGTAATATTTTATAGAATTCATAGTACCTTTTTAACGGACATTCTCAGATGTCCAGAGCACGATATCATATTCGTTCTATGTATATAGCCTGCAAACCCTTTTCTTTCTACAATAAAATTACATTGGAAAATTATTTTGGCAAACTATGCAAATCAACGTTTCGGAGTACAAATATTCGATTATTTTTTATGTAAAATAATAATAATAACTGCATGAATCTAAAGTACTTTAGGGAAAACCAAAAATCCCACGAGATTCATTTTCTAGAAACACAAGTACCTATGAAAAAAAAAAAATGGTTTATTCATGAAAATATGATGGCCAGAAATCAGTAAAAATAAAAATGTCGCCCACTCAATATTTGAATCGGGACTAACGAATTCTAATTTAAAAACAATTTATTATTTAGTAAAATACACTTAATACCACCAACTCAATCTAAACTTTTGTTGTAAAATAAATGTATACCCATAAATTTGTGCAGTTTGTATATTATATTATAAACGTACATAAAACGAAACTTATTGCAAAAATGTAACCACAATCTAAATACATTTCAATTGAGTATTTTTGGTACTTTCATTTATTTATATGCAATGTTATTTAAACACTATTTATGTTAATATCCTAAATATTTAAATTGTATATATATATTATAATTTAGAATGCTAATAGCTCGGTTGCACAAGATGATTAATTCATGATCAACAAAACAAAATACAAATGTATACAAATTATAAAATGTACATTTTAATATTTTATCATGTTATATGTTTTTAATAGAACGCGTAGTATTGCAATGTCTCCAGTTTTGAATATTTTTCAACTGCAATTATTGTAGGTGCATTTACCTCTAGTAAAGATATTTCAACATTTTTTTAAGGCTTTTTATATTTTTAAGTTTATTTGAGGTTGTAAAATTGTGCATGGCCATTGTGAAACATAGGGGGTTTTGCAATTAAAATTTATCAACTGGTAATTTTTTGTTTTCAATTAAATAGCTTCGAGTGATTTAAGTTTCTATCAATGTCATGAAATTCGATTTAATACAATGTATTGCATTAACAATTTACTAAAAATTGGTTTAATAATATTATAGTTTCATAGAGTAATATAGTATGTATAAAATGGCTGAAAACATTAAATTATAAAATGCGGGTAATGGACTTTTTAATAATTGTATTTATTTATTAAGAATTCAATTTTTTTTAATAATATACATTTAATATAGGTATTATGTGTACTTTGAAATCAAAGGTTTTCCATTATTAGGTATTGTGTTTAATATTTCCATCAGACGTCTTCAGTGCTTAACTATATTTTTATTAATATTCATAGAAATCAAAAAACATAATATCTTATAATACTTTATTATGGTTAAAGTTACAACACCACTATCCAGTTAAATATTGTATATATAATCAATTCAGTTGGTACTATTATAAATGGCACCGTTTAATGATTGATGATGGCTTGATGTTGAAATACCGTACTTATTTATGATTACTAAATCCATCATATATTTTTGTTTCGTAATTTAAATGTAATATTATCTAGTAATTTGCAGTAAGCATGCTTACGCTTTTAGCAAATAATGACAATCACATATCATTCAATATGTCGATCAAAACAAAAATGACATAGACTATCATAGATATTATATTTTTTATTATTATTATTATTAGTAGTAGTAGTAGTAGTAGCAAAAATACCCGCGTCTGCATAAGCCATTGGGAAACAAGTTATCTTATGAGTTCTAATGGTTAAGAATAATTATAAATATTGGGGTCATAATATTAAAATACTAGAAAACCTTAATTTACTACTCATGCAATAAACATTTTTCTGCTCAGTGTTTCAAACATATTATGCTTGTATTTTATCTGAATTTGTTGAGCTGTAATAGTTTAAGCTAGAAACTCTTTAAACATTAAAAAAAATTTAATATTGGTATTATTCTAAAATGTACTCTTGGGTTTTTTAAGATGCAAATTAAAAACGTCAACATAAAAAGTTAAATGTAACCAAATAATGTATTTAACTCTAAAAGTTTAAAGTTAGTATAACAAATTAACTTAATACTGTCAAAAACACTTGTAATTGTTCAAATTTCAATTTTTTCTAAAATAACTTACCAGTTTGTTGAAAATTCATCTTACAGTTTCTTCTTATTACACACTGTCGCCATTTCGGCAAATAACATCTTTTTTTCTACTAAATTATTAGATCAATGACCATTTTTTCTTTTACTTTTATTCAAAACTATTTACCTATAGTGTTGATTAAACAAAAAATATTTTATTCATTTTTAACAACAATTATTATAGGTAACTGACTTGTATAAATAACATATTAAAACGTACCTACTATTTTTCAAACGAACTGAAACGATCAGGTTATCGCAATGGACAACTATTCTAGTTAAGAAATTATGGCTAAAATGAACTAAATAGTTGTGTAAAAAATATATCCAACAAAACGAATTTTCAGCACATTTTTAACTTTTTAACTAATTATGCCCACCATTAGGTATACTTATACATAATTTAATCACAACATATATATTACTGGAAATATAATATTTACAGTTAGTTGGTAAAAAAAAAATATATTATTTCTGATTTTATTCATAAAATATATTTATCTTTATTGAATAAAAAATTATATATCTCTTTCTTCAATTTATCATAAGGGAAAATAATGAATGAACAATTATTACAGTAACATAAATATAGTTCTCTATTTCCTTTGATTTCCTTTGTTTAAAAATTATATATTTGTATTAAAATAATACTTACAATACACCACCGCAAGCTATGGTTAATAAACGTACAAACATAATGGAATGTATTATGTATCTGCGCATTATTTTATTCATACGAGACTTTTGGTACCTACCTATAGTTATATTATCACAAAAATACACTATTTAAATTGGCTTTTACCAATTGCATTTTTTGACCGGTGTAATGTAAGTAAAAAATATACACTGCTGTATTACTGTTATCATCAAATTTTTTTTCGGTGTCCAAACTATGGAATTATACATGATTTTAGATATAGCTATAATAGGCAAAAGATACATTTTATACATCCGATTATGCGAACAATTATACAAAAACTGCCTTTAATTTAACGCGATATATATTTATTATTTCGTATAATAGTATTAAATGTTGTTTGTCTATAGTTTCAGGAGGTGCGCTGAATGTCAAATAAGTGTATACTTTTAATTGAATGATTCTGCCAATGCATCGAATTAATAGCCTCAGGTTAGTTCAGCTATTATTATTATTATATTATTTATGTGATTTCAGACGTATATTATACTATATTATAGGATACTACTTTATTTTTAAGCAAAAAAAAAAATGAACAGCTCTGTTATTTGTTCTCTTGAAACTCGGAGCAAAAAAATACGTACAAACATTAATTAATTTTTTTTTTCTATTCTGTGTTTTTAATATCTTAGAGACTACAAAATGTTGAGTGGATTTCTAATATTCGCGTTTTAGTAATAAAAAAAAAAATTTTAATATACATGACGAATTTTAGCGCAAATAATAATCATTAAGCCCTTAAAATATAATATTTGACAGGAAATATACCGAACAATTCTTACTATAAACAGATGACGGTATTATATAGTGCTCGCAGAAAACGGAAGTCCAGTAGAAAGCCATTTGGTGAATCTTTTGTATGGAAACATAACACCAGTGCCGTTTCATTTGAACACGAAATGGGGTACTGTGTCGCGAATATAAAATAAAACTTGATTTTTAATAACTGCCAACTGGTTTCCAAAACTAAAATAGTTTGTGTAACAACATTAGATCAAAAGTACGTGCGTAATACTCGTTGTATACACGTGACTGTATGAAAGGCAATTAGTTAGCTTCCGGACTTTCTAAGCGCGTATACGGCGGAAACAACTCTTCGTTCATTTGTGGTCGAAGGTGCAGATGGTAGAATGTCTAAATCATGGTTGGAAACTTGAAATGTCTAAAACACTTTGGGATTGAATCAATTTTGGGTGAGAGGTGTTTGTTGCAATATTAATGAACGTTGTTGAAACGTGTCAAATATACGTGTACGTGTTAGGTTAATGAGGATGGAGATTCTAAGAAACACGCGTTATACATAAATTGAAAGTCCCAAAAACGTGTTTTAATTACTCTGCTTAAAACGCACGCGTTAACTATAAATGTGTGTTTTTTTTCGTTATTTGCTTATCAAACATCATCAGATTTAGATTTTATACTACGGTCGATTATATTATTACTATAATAGGTAACCTAACCTAACCCATATAATCGGACACAAACAAGTTAGAAATTTACCTGATCAGTTTCTGACTCACGTCATGTAATGTGATTATTGCGCCTGTTCAAATGTCACATATAAGTAAGCTGTAATATAATAATTAAGTTTTGAAATAAATTAGTACGCTTAAGATAAAATTATAAATATTTTCTTTGTACAAAAAAAAAAAATGTCCAAACACAAAATTAATGAGGCAGACATAAAACTTGATTAATAAAATAAATGTTTAACCAATACGTTATAAATCTTCATCATTTTTTTGTTATTAATTACAATTGTTTTACTTATTTAAAATATGACAGCATTAATCGTATCGTTTTCGCCCACCAAAGATATTGAAAATGTATTTATTCAAAGTAAACACATAATAATATTTTGGTTTTACTCAACTACATTATTTGACATTATTGTTATTAAAGTTGTGTGGCAGCAAATTATTTGTTTACTTCAGGACATCCGGAATTTAATGAGCTTTGTGGTTTCTTAGAAAGTTATTTAAAGTTTGATTCTTGTCTCAAGACCCATATAATATATAATAACACTTTGAATAATAGAAATCTAGTTCACGTGGATTGTATAAAATAACATAAATTTAACGAGGAAATAAATATATATTTTATTCTAAAATTTACATTTCTATACATAAATAAACATCAAACTTTAAATCATTAAAACGTTCATCAAAATTACGAAGCATTAAATACTTATTATAATTACGATTATTATGAATTGTATGAACTGTAACAATTTGTTTTTTTATTATTTCATAATTTGTTTCATTTATTTATCACGAAACTCTATAATTAAACCAGAGAACACTTTATTTTATTACACAAATAAATTGGTTTTCATTCATTTTTTCTCGAAAATCATCAAAACAATAATATGTTTTTATTCGTTATTGATTCCTTTGGTTGTTTAAAAATCAACAAATTAAACAACATGATGATAATAATATATAAATAGGTATAGATTCGTAAAGAAACAAAAAAAAAATTAAGATTGAAATTACTCAAACACGTCCAAAAATGCAAAATTCGACGTCTAACTGTCGACGAAAAAATGGTGTTGTATGCAGTTCGTAAACGGAATTTCATTCGATCAATGCACTATTGATAAAACAACGGTCGGCATTCGAACAGACCCAAAAACGCAGCCGGACGCATCCAGATCGTCCGCCGGCACATGCAATTTTTCTTTCTCCTCTCCACTTTTAAACCAATCCAACTCTGCAGTAAATAACGCGAGCGGAGTAATATCGTTGCAGTATAACGCGGATGTTATGACAAAAAATAATAATAATAATAATCGAGAGAGAACGAAAGAGAGTATGACGACCGACGCGACCGGGCGAGGAGGAACTGCAACAGCGGCGATGCTGTGAATCACACGAGGCGGAAGTCGGGGGGGGGGGGGGGGGAAAAAAGTGGCTTCTTGTAGCGTAAAGCAATTTCGAAAATGGATACACCGGACTGGCGGCACGGCGCCGCTCGTTAACCGCAAATTTTACATACGCACATCCACACGGTACTGCCGAGTCATCAATTTCTTCGTGGCTATTTATTACGATACAGTTTTTAACCGCCGCCGCCGCCCCGAAGTTGCCCCGCTGCAGTTTCGCCGTCCCTCTCGCGCCAAATATTCTATCATATATGATGGCGACGACGTCGCAACAAGGAGTCGGAGGAGGACGTGCCTTTGAGTAATACGCGCCGCAAAACTTTCCAATACGATATGGAAACATAATGCGCACGACGACGTACAGGTTATGATTCTCGCAGCACGCGAGGTTTGGAAAAATCGCTTTATAACGATAATATTACCGTGTCAAAATACGGGCAAACGCGTTTTATCGATGATAATAAAATATTCAATGCGTCTACACCGGAGCCCGGAATTCGAACGTCGATATTTTAATATTAAAAAAGGAAATTTGTCGATATTATCGTCTTACCGTTCAAAAATAGTAAATAAGTATACTTGGACGTTTTGATTAGAAATCGACGGTTTGTATCACGAATCTTCCTCATTTTCATTCATCTTTATTTCATACGAAAAACACATTTGTATGGCCAACAATATCGGATTCAGTTTTAGTCTGTGCGAATTTATGTGTCAAGCCGCAGTACGCAATACACACGTGGTACATAATTTCTGCAAAGTGAAATAATGCCAACATTGTGCTCTGCAGAGTGGTATGTGGGTGTAAATATGAGAGCATAACAGTTTGTACGTCTGAAATACTACGACCAATGCTTTTTTTTGTTTTTACAAAATAGGCCCTAGACTCAAAGGCCACAATAAATTATCGTATAACGTACGAGTATACTGCATAACATTATAATATTATTGTCTCTCGTTGGGCTCGGCGTCACGTGGCGTAAATCATATGGCTACAGGAGGAGTTAGACGTGCGTATTCGAATGTGAATAAAACGGGAAAACG